AATTAATTACCAATATTCTCACTGCACAATATTCTCACTTTAGAAATGAACATTTATGCAGCTTAATCTTCTAGGGACATAGAATTCCTAAGTGGCTATGTAAACAAAAATATGAATCGTACCTCTGTGGTGTTTTGTTGTTAATTTGCTAAATGAAAACAAATGTAAAAGGGAAACATGGATTCTTATTTGCATTGCAAAGGACCCTTAACAATATTTTGAGCATATATTTCCAAGACTGGCCTGTGCTGATCTCATGGGGAATGACAGTACGTGCTCATCCAGCCTAGATATACCCCTATGTAACCTCAAGACAAATAAGAAATATGAACAGGATTTTCTATTTAGGCTGAGTTATAAATTGACATATTTGTATGATGCACAGCTATTGTAACTTGAGTTATGGGTAAACATTGCTTGGATAATGTAGATCAAATAAAGAAAATCCTAATTTTAATTATTATATATTTTACTTTAAAAAAAAAAAGTGCTATTTTGACTTGTGATTTAGCTCCTTCTGGAATGCTAAATCTACTGCAAAGTGCCAGTTATGTGAGCCATAAGTGTGGTATGTGGCTTTATAATACCATCAAGAAGTATAAGTCTACTTAGCAATGAGTATTTATATTGTTCTAAGGAAGCCAAAATGAAGGAGGCAGCATAGGATTATGGGTAGAAGGTGAGTTAGAGTAAACAACTTCTAGTTTACATACATTTTGCCTGAAGCGTAATTGCTGTAGGCTAACCTTGCTAGACTTAATCTAGACAGCTACTCCCTATGAGTAGCCAGTGAGATACTAGAAGTTCCTGGTAAGGAAATGGTAGTGAAGGTGAGAAATGTCATCCAGCAGACCACTGATAAAAAGCAAAACCATTCAAAAATGGTCTGACTAGTTACAATGGGGGTGTATTATGGTCATTCTGACACCATAACCACTAAACTGAGATATAATAAATATGCTGTTTGGAGTCGTCCTTTAATTAATAGATCTCATGTTAGTTTCTTTTTGATTTTTGGATATAAATTGTACAGAATAAAAAAATAGACAAGTAAATAATTCAATGTAATAAAGACAATGAAAAAGGCATAAACAAAGTTAGGTAATTCTATAGAAATTAAAGAAATCCAAAAATGGTCAATATGAGTGGAAGGGGTGAAAGGAAATAAGAAAAAACAAAACCTGTCAGAAGTGTGGTTAGAATAAAGTAGAAGAGATTAGTAGAATGTAAGAAAAGAGAATAGAGGAAAAAGAGGCGTGAGGCAAGAAAAAGGTAAATCCAAATTAGAAATAACGCAGGCAAACAAGGAAAAGCAGCAAGAACAAAGAGCACCAGAATATGAGTCTATTTAGTGGGTATTACGAACCAGCAGCAGCATCCTAACCAAGTCTAAATGGAAACCCTGTATGGACAATGTGTCCAAACAATAGGTAGAGATTTAATCAATAGGAAAAAAAAGTGGAATATAGAGTCACAAACTCACATGAGTATGAAAATCTAATCTAGAATCACCACCGATGGTTATGTACCTCTTAATCACTACCTAAATAAAGTAGAAATATTTAAATAATTTTGTAGAATGAAATCAAGCCCATGAAGACTCACATACCTTCATTTATACTCCAGTTATGATGACCAGCCTGTAGAGGAACACATTTCTCTGTTAGAAGCCACTAGTCTTGAATATAATGTCTGTAAATGTGCTGAAAATATAAACTCACCACCTGCTTTTAAACAGTAATGGATGTTTCAAAGGGTCTTATTATTATTATTATTATTATTTTGTTAATATTTATATAGCAACAAACATGTCGTTGTAACCAGACAAGTTGGACACACAGGAACAGAGGGGTTGAGGGCCCTGCTCAATAAGCTTACATGCTAGAGGGAGTGGGGTAAAGTGTCATAAAAGGTAAGGATAGCACTAGACTAATGACAGTTGCAAGAGAGGAATCAGTCAGGAGTAGAGTTGAGCGGACACCTGGATGTTCGGGTCCGGCGGGTTCGGCTGAACTTTGAAAAAAAGTCCGGGTTCGGGCTCGAACTTGACCCTGAACTTGACCCCGAACCTGAACCCCATTGAAGTCAATGGGGACCTGAACTTTTGGGCACAAAAATGCCTCTAAAAAAGTCCTGGAAAGGGCTAGAGGGCTGCAAAAGGAAGTAAAATGGGGGCAACAGTAGAACAAGTGCCCTCCAAACAAATGTGGATAGGGAAATCACTTAAAATAACATAAACTTTAAAAATACAGCTGAGCCATAAAATAGCACTAGATGGAATCTTTGATTTTAGCTTTGGAAGAACATAAATCAAAATCTAAAGCATGGCTGTCAGGAGCATCAGCAGAATGATCTATTTGAGAGAGGGTTGGAGTACAGGGTATTCTCTTGCATTGTTCAAACTGAGCTCAACTCATGATGCAGGCCTTCACAAGCCTTTGCTATTGTGTACATAGTTTATACTAAGTGACCCATAGGTTGAGGAGGCGGTGACTGTGGCAGTGTAGGTGGAAGCAGCGGTGGAGGAGGAGAAGGCAGCCAACACTTTTTTATATATATATATATATATTTTTTTTTTTTTTTTTTAATTGGGGTAGCCCCCAAAATATTGGGACATATAAAAAAGAAAATCCTGTTCCGCAGAGCGACTGACCCGTGCTTGCTGCAGCTGAAACTCCAATATCGCCTGCTGCTCGCACAGTCTCATTAGGCGGTGAGCGGGAAGGCCGAAGTTACGCTGCAGCGCAGACAGGTGAGCAGCAGCAGGGTGGGAATGCCAAAAGTGCGCACAGATGGCCCACACTTTCTGCAGCAGCTCTGATATATCTGAGTAGTTTTTCAGGAATTTCTGCACCACCAAATTCAGCACATGGGCCAGGCAAGGGATGTGCGTCAAACTGGCTAGGCCCAAAGCTGCTACGAGATTTTGTCCATTATCGCACACCACCAGGGCGGGCTTGAGGCTCAATGGCAACAACCACTCATTGGTCTGTTGTTCCATGCCCGTCCACAGCTCCTGCGTGGTGTGGGGTTTTCCCCCCAAACATATAAGTTTGAAAACAGCCTGCTGTCGTTTCCCCCTGGCTGTGCTGAAGTTGGTGGTGAAGGTGTTACGGTGACTGGATGAGGAGGTGGTAGAGGAGGAGGAGGTGGTAGAGGAGGAGGAGGAAGAAGCTGAGTAGGAGGAGGAGGCAACAGGAGGCAAAGCTGTGTACCCAAATAAAGATTGTCAAACGTTGTACCCTGGAACTGGGTCCCATCCGGTTACTGGGGAAATGGGTCTGACCTATTCTAATCAAAGGTAATAACCATCGGTTACCCAGGTCCCGCTTCAATTGGTGGCAAGCGGCGGGATCCTATGTCCTTACCAACAGACCAATGGACTACAGTGCTCTAAAGTGACCTACACTGCAGGACTTGTGTGGAGCCAGAGGAATAATGCCTGGTGGGCGTAACAAAGCCGAATTGACTGCTGCGCTCATGGAGGACGACCAGACATGCAATGAGGCAACGAACCCCAGCCAGGAGGAAGGAGGAAGTGTGCAAGGAGGCGTAACGGTGCCTGGCATATTACCGAGAGCCACCCTCAGAGGAGATTGTCAGCAGGACCTTTTTTGGAGGTGCAAGCCTATGTCCTAGCCAATAGACAGAGCGCGACCTCCATGAACCCAGATGAAGGAAGAAGGGAGCAGAGGGCGCCGGGAAGCACAACCACCCTGGCCCACAAGCTACTATACAATGCCTTCAAAGACTTCAAGGACGCAGAAGAAGGCATTGATGATTTTACAAGACTTTGAGCGCCAGTGCCTACTCCAAGACGTGGACCCCAGCAACTGGGTCACAATCCTGGCCAGCAAACTAGTGGGGAAGGTAGCAGATATTTACCGGGCTGTACCAGAAGAGCAGATCAGAGACTATCCCTTTATTACACAAATCCTCCTGGCCCGGTATGTGGTCACCCCCGAGCAATACCGCCAAAAGTTTAGGGAGACCCGGAAAGGGTAGAAATACTCCCATGCAGAGTGGGCATGCCGCATCACAAGGGCCACCCAGAACTGGCTCAACTCCCATCAAGCCAAGTTCCCGGAGGAGATCACCCAGCTCGTCATGCTAGAGCACTTTTTCAAGTAAATAATTCAATGTAATAAAGACAATGAAAAAGGCATAAACAAAGTTAGGTAATTCAATAGAAATTAAAGAAATCCAAAAATGGTCAATATGAGTGGAAGGGGTGAAAGGAAATAAGAAAAAAAAATATAAGAAAAAACGACAAGGCGACGACGCATTCGTATGTCATCCAAATCAACTTTCGATGCCACCTTCTGTGCCTATGTGATAATTGTGTTAAAATCCAATTAACTAATTAAGAATGATTGATTGATCACTAATGAGCAAATTAATCTATTATAGATAGTTAAGATGGCACTTGGCTTAAACTGTGTCGCACTAAGAAATTCAACTTGTGTCGCACTAAGAAATTCAGCTATGATGACATTGCATAAAATGCTTAAACTGTGTCGCACTAAGAAATTCAACGTTGCCTGGAATATTCCATAGCATGTCTGGCCAATATCCAAAAAGGCCCACGTGCTGAACAGAGAGAATTGGTGCCAACAAATGTATGGAAAGATAAGAGTAGGGACATAGCTAGAATAAGATGCCGCACGTGTCTGGCATGAGCCTTGGGTGGTCACGACTGGCCTGATCAACCATACTGATTACTTAATGCGCATGACAAGATACATGCTGGGCTGCACTGATAAGAAATCTTGGAAAAGTTACAAACTTGCTAAAAGGTATAAAAGACGAAGAAACTTGGCACTCACTTGGAGAACTACCCACCTGTAATGCAGACGCGTGTTGCTGGTCTCTGCTGTTCCCAGAGAGGGTTCCTCCATGCCGACTGCCAGAGTTCCCCCAGTCACGTGCAATGAGGACACAACGAAACCCCTCTAATGGTGATGTATACTTAAGCTGATATATCCGGATGCTAAGCTGTTTTGAAGTGAATGCATGCAACTGCTTAATGAGAATTAAGCTTACTCTGTATTGGGTCCCCTTGTGGACAATAAAGTGGTGTGAATTCTTATCTGCAACTTGGTCTCTGTGTGGTTTCTTTTTCCTATAGCCCAAGACACTCATCTCGAACTGGGTTGTGTGCCCGCCAATATCACTATAAACCTTATTAGGTAATTGATTATTACTTTTTGGATATTGGTGCTTCATGAATTTAATGATTAGGCACAACAACCTACCATGGTGACCACGGATAACGGGGAATCAGGGTTTTATTCTGGAGAGGGAGCCTGAGAAATGGCTACTACACAGAAGGAAGGCAGCAGGCGCGCAAATTACCTACTCCTGACGTGGGGAGGTAGTGATGACAAATAACAATACAGGACTCTTTAGAGGCCCTGTAATTGTAATGAGTCCACTTGAAATCCTTTAAATATGATCAATTGGAGGGCAAGTCTGGTGCAGAGTGACTGACCTGTGCGTGCTGCAGCTGAAACTCCACTATCGCCTGCTGCTGCTCACATAGTCTCTCCAGCATGTGCAAGGTGGAGTTCCACCTTGTGGGCATGTCGTATATAAGGCAGTGAGCGGGAAGGCCAAAGTTACGCTGCAGGGTAGACAGGTGAGCAGCAATCAGTCTGGTGATGGCTTCTGGTATCCAGTACTCTTTTTACTGAAGCTGCATCAGGGTCCTGGTATGTGGCCACACAAACACTGGTGCTCAACACCAGGGGGCGTGCGGTTACCCTGCACCAGACCCTGCTAATTCACTCCACACTGTGACTCCTAACTTCAACATCAGGAATACTGGGTCCCTGTCATCCGACCGCCGCCGAGACAGTGTCTGGGTCCCAGTCACCCGACTGCGAAACTGCGAATGGCTCGTTAAATATGTTATGGTTCCTTTTATCGCTTCATCTGTTACTTGGATTACTGTGGGAATTCTAAAGTTAATACATGCCGATGAGCGCTAGGGGACGGCCGCTCCGCATTTGCACCCTGCTCCCTCTTATGCTGTGCTGGTGCCTCTGTGCGACCAGCGCCTCTTCCTCCAAACTGCACACGTCACTCGCATAACCTTGATTCCATGTGGGGACTAGGACCTGATCATCCTCCACATCATCTTCCACCCACTCCTCAACCCTGCCCTCCTTTGAATTGGTCAAACTGCGCTGTAACCACAGTATTTGACACTTCTATTTGACTCTCAGATATGAAGTGCAGGCACCAAATTTACTATTTAGCAGATTAGCACCCAGAAAATAAGAATGTTTACAATTGCGCTGTAACCGGAGTATTTGACGCTTCTATTTGACTCTCAGATATGAAGTGCAGGGCCCAAATTTACTATTTAGCAGTTTAGCACCAAAACAATTAGAATTCTTACAACTGCGCTATAACCGCAGTATTTGACGCTTCTATTTGACGCTTCTATTTGACTCTCAGATATGAAGTGCAGGGACCAAATGTACTATTTAGCAGCCCAAAAATTTGAATGTTTAAAACTGCTATGTCATAGTACTATTTGACGCTTCTTTTTGACTCTCTGATATGAAGTGCAGGGCCCAAATTTACTATTTAGCAGATTAGCACCGAGAAAATAAGAATGTTTGCAATTGCGCTGTAACCGCAGTATTTGACGCTTCTATTTGACTCTCAGATATGAAGGGCACGCCCCAAATTTACTATTTAGCGGTTTAGCACCAAAACAATTAGAATTTTTACAATTGCGCTGTAACCGCAGTATTTGACGCTTCTATTTGACTCTCAGATATGAAGTGCAGGGCCCAAATGTACTATTTAGCAGATTAGCACCCAGAAAATAACAATGTTTACAATTGCACTGTAACCGCAGTATTTGACGCTTCTATTTGACTCTCAGATATGAAAAGCACGCCCCAATTTACTATTTAACAGATTAGCACCCATAAAATAGGAATGTTTACAATTGCGCTGTAACCGCACTATTTGACACTTCTATTTGACTCTCAGATATGAAGAGCACGCCCCAAATTTACTATTTAGCAGTTTAGCATCCAAACAATTAGAATTTTTACAACTGCGCTGTAACCGCAGTATTTGACACTTCTATTTGACTCTCAGATATGAAGTGTAGTGCCCAAATGTACTATTTAGCAGATCAGCACCCAGAAAATAACAATGTTTACAGTTGCGCTGTAACCGCAGTATTTGACGCTTCTATTTGACTCTCAGATATGAAGAGAACGCCCCAATTTACTATTTAGCAGATTAGCACCCAGAAAATAGGAATGTTTACAATTGCGCTG